AGCTGCCTCTGCCATCACCAAACGCAGGAATTCCCTAGGCAATGTGTACGGCCAAACCTCGATCTTGCAGCTGGTCTCTGAACAGATGCATGCACACGTCCTGGCGCCCCGCTTATGCAGCGCCTGTGTGTGTGTCATCTCTCGGGTGACATTGCATTAAACCCCAAGCCGAACCGTTGTATGAAATCCCTAATCAACAACTCTCGATATGTGAGACTTGTTGATTAGTTTTCCCTTGTCTTATGCAAATTCTCTAGTGTTAGCGAGATTTAGGTCCCTCATCGTTTTCGGGCAGTGTCCCGAGTCTCGATTGGAGACTATGTATACTTCGTACGGATCGAGACCTAGGAAGAGTGAGAGAGTATTGGTGTTAGATCATTAGTATGGGAATATCGAGCATCCCTAATCGTGAGACCGATTTTGCGATAGGAGATTGTTTTCGAACATCTAGTCAATATTTCCTAAACCGCATTCGAAGTGTTATTCGAGTCGGCTAGGGTAGAGTTGTTGGCAACGGTATCATACAGAGCCGTGCGTTCTGTAGGTATTGGTGTTGTAGATATTGTTATTGTGTATTGTTAGCCCATCCTTATGGGATTTCCATGGCGGCCTGTTTTATAGGGACGCACGGATCATATCAGCGTAGTAATCGAGTTTTCTACCGTGACCCGGGCACGAGATGAAGCTCAATACAACAAGTCAACCCTATATGTTGATTATGTTGGAGTATGCTATCGAGACACGAAAGGACCGGTTAGGGTCTTGTGTATTGATAGATGAGTAGAATGTGAGAATTCCTTACCATGGGAGGTACACTGGTAGCGATGGCTATCTAGCGACAACCCTAATGGTACCATGTGAGGTGGCTGGTACGGATATAGGTGGAGTATGCCGTTGTTCTGGTTACTGCCACGCGTACTCAGTCCTATTATGATTCTCGACCAAGTCGATGACTTAGCCTGATGGTTGACTCCACCACCGGAGCTCGCGAGGATGCATGACACGTTCTATGCCTCTCGATGGAGGAAACGTGTGCGTGATCTCGGAGTACATGTGATTTATGACGAGCTGCGTGTAAGGCAGAATCCTCCGTGCTTGGAAGTACCGGTGTCTTCTAGAAAAAAGACCGGGAGGGGTACTCGTCAAAGTCCAGTGGTGGTTGTCAAGATAAGACGACTTGGGAGGAGGGGGACCGAAATTCGGAGGAGATACCCGAATTTCATGTGTCGATGTTTTCCCCTCTTTATCGTAGTTTGTATTTCGAATTCCGAGGTCGGAATTCTTTGTAAGGTGGGTAGACTGTAGCGCCCCGTTTATTTATGGATAATTTTAGGATTATTTATTATTATTTATTAATATTATTATTACTTATTGTTTGTTATTATTATTATTGTTGTTATTATTATTATTATTATTATTATTATTATTAGATGCCTAATTATCTTTAAATGCCTAAATGTTTATTATTATTATTATATTACTGTGTGTATTATATATATAAATATTATCCTAATTTTATTTTAATTGTCGTGCGCAACTGAGCTAGTTTTATTGTCGGATAAATCGAGCCCGAGAACCCAAAAATCGAGCCTTATTATTTTCGGCCCATAAGAGCTAAATAATTCGGCCTTTTGCTCAAGTATTTCTGGCCCGTTAAAGCCCTTATTCTCGGCCCATGAACCTTGGTGACCCAACCCGTTTCTTAATTAATTTGGAGGTCAAATAAATTTTTCTCCTAAGTTTTTTTGGACGCCCCAAACCCTTCTCCTTCATTTTTTTTTCACACGGCCGCAACCCCTCTGTCTCTATCTCAATCTCGTCAACCAATCTATCTCCCTCTCGCTCGATCCGGTCACCTCACCTTCATCTCCGATTGCATCATCACCAGATGCCTCATCTCGTCGAGAAAACCAGTCATCGCCCTTCGCTAGTTCACTGTCGCGTTCCATCGCAAGAAGGAGCAACAACTCGATCGCCGCCGACCCTCATCCGCGCGACGCCGCCACGAACCAGCAAAAGCCGCCGGCGAGCCCTTCTTCCCCCGCGAACAACCGGCGACCATTTCTGGTGAGCCCCTGTCCACACGCAACTCCTCGCCGGGAACCAGCGAAGTCCCGACGACCCCTCCTCTGCGAGCCGCCGTCCTCAGCCGCGGCCCTCGGCCACAGCAGCTGCCTTGTCCAGTTGCTTCCTCTCGCGAACGAGCTTATCCGCGACCAGGAGCCCACCGTTCATCCCGCGCACGTCGCTGCCCCTCGACCACCGTTCAACACCACTGTGAACCAGCAACGAGTCACCGTGCGCGACCATTACTCCGTTGTCCGCTTGCTTCGCCATAGCGAGACGAGCGTCTGCCGTCGAGCCCGAGAAACGCTGCGCAGCACCTCCCGAGCCACCGTGCGTTTGCCGTTCGTTCCCTCCGTACGAGCAGTGAACTCTGGCGGCGACCTAGCAGCAGCAACCCCCTTCTCAGCCATTGTCTCTTTCGCGAGACGACGCTTGCCGTCGAGCTTGCCTCTAGCTCGCCTCGTCTTTTCGTTCCGTTTTTCGAATTCTCGATAACGGTACCTAGTCGATTCCATCTCGTTTAAATCGTTTATGTTATGTATTAATATGTGTGATTTGCGATTTGATATGCGAGATGTGATTATTTTTGCGATAATGTGTTCGATATGAGCTATGTGATAATTGTGATTTTATGGGTGTCGTCTAAGTGTTCGAGGATCTCTTCAATTATGAGAAATTGAACGAGACCTCGAAAGTCGTGTAAGTCGGTGGATATTGGAACAATGTCGAACCCTTGGTCTTATGAAAAGGCCTCGGACGATAAATTGTGTGTTGTGATTTAATTGTCAAGTTGTCGAGCTTGTTAATCGCTGTTTTGATGTTCGCATTTTTAAAAATAGCTCGCTGCTCGAAACGATGTGAAATTTTGAGGGATGTGTTATCTGTTCATATTCTGCCTTGTGTAAAATTTTCATAATTTTTGGAGGCCTGTAGCTATTTTTAATAATTAATTTGTATTCTGTCCAACATATTGTTAAATGCATAATAAATTCATTCCTGACTGAAATGAGCTGAAATTTGAATATGTCATGCCTCTGTGTCTTATATGTGTTGTGTTAAATTTTCAGAATTTTTGGAGTCGATTTGATATGGATAATATTTTATTTATTGATTCTGCAGAAGTGTTGTTTGAATTTTTTTAAAAATCGGTTACTGCATGGAAAATTCTGAAATTATACTGAGAGTCATATTTTAGGTTTTTGATCATGTTTGTAAAAGATGAGAATGTTTAGAGTCTGTTTTGTTTCAGTTTGGGTTTAAATTCGATAAACTGCTGTTGCTCGTTTGAATTTTTAAAAATAGCAGCAGTTATCATTTAAGGCTGAAATTTTTATAAGTGGACTTTAGCATGCTGTATGTGGTTGTGTAAAATTTTCAGGTTCAAATTCGGTCATTAAGTCCGAGTATGAATTAATGTGCCCATTTTGCTGATATACTGTTCGAATTTTATAAAATAGGGTATTTTGAGTTTAAAGCTGAAAGTTTGTGGTTTTACATGTTGCTGGAAGATGAAATTTTGGGTAAATTTTCAGAGCTTAATTCGTAGGGTAGCTTGACCATCTATTTTCATGCGATTAAATGATTTCTATTTCTGAACATGATTTTTATGAAAGTTGGGAATCGACTTGCTTTTTGTTTTGATGTGAGTTTGACTTGGTCAATCCTTAGATGGATTTATGTGAACTCCCATATGTGGTTTGGTCGAGTTTAGTGCCGAGTCTTAGTGTTCCAACATCCACATGACTTCACGAACTACTTAGTCGAAACAAGTTCGACTAGGTCTGTTTTGTGTTTTCCGATTTAGTCACGATATTGATTGTAGGATCTTGACATAATGTAGGTGTTTGAGGAGTCAAGCCTCAACCTACGACTATTCTGAATTACTGTCATCAGTCCAAATCCAGGTGGGTTGTTATTCTAAAATTATCTATGCATATGTGTGATTTACTTGTGTGGAAAATTTGGTATGATCGATGTATGCATGTGAACATGTAGCCTATCGATGTGATCTGTTACGGTCGTCGGTACGGTTGTCCCCGTCGAGTTACGGTACGGTGCCCTCGTGTGGCAATCTCCTTTAAGTCCTGATATGGCCGTGCCCTTGTGAGGTACGTAAGCCCATATGGAAGGCCGTGTCTGTTACAGTGGCACGTACTCCCGCCTTCGGGTAATGAATCCCCGTTCTGCGGCTAGCGATAGATGTGCACATGAGTAAGGTTAAATGGTGTGATTTTGATTAGGAGATGAGACATGTTGTGATCATTGTTTATGTTCATGCTGCGACCATACCATTGTTATGTTATTCATATGCATAGTGTGAGTACGATATTTAACTGTACTCACTCCCACCTGCTCTTCACGGATGCAGGTTAAGCAGCTGGCGGGTGACGAGACGAGATGACGAGTGGTGGTTATATTATTTATTATTGCTTTATTAACCTTGCTTCCGCTTAGTTCATAAACTCATGTTGAATTTGGATATTTTGGTTATGTCATTTCGGAACATGGAATTATGAATTATCTTTTATGAATTGGAACCTAATGAATGCTAGATTGGTTTATGGTTTATTATTCGTGCATGCTGCCTTTATTTGCTGTGTTAGCATTTTTGGAAAAAAGCTTTTGGTAGGTTGAGTAGCGCCCACTGAGTTTTTAATTACATTAATGTTTGTAAAATAAAAATTTATTGTGGTTTCTATTAAATAAATTCGATAAATCTTTCAAAATAAAGTGGGGCGTTACAGGTTAGAGTATGAATCACAATGCTCGCCTGCTCAAAATGCAGTTATTCTTGTGTTCAAAAGGTCTATAGAGGCTGGTCTTAAGAAGGGATTGGATTTGGATTTAAAAGGGTCACCCGTATTGGCTCGACTTTTGGTACCATCGTACAATGTCGGTAGTTTGTTGGGGAAGGAGGCGCAAGAATAGCAGAAATGAGAAAGGCGACGGGTACTGATCTGAGGTTCATTGTGGGCAACCAAGTCCCCAAGTGTGCTCCAAAAATGTTGAAATCTTACAGGTACTGCCGTTAGCTAATGCATATTCTTACTTCATTAAGGATCTTACCCATTAATTTACCTTAATTTTTACATGTACAATTTAATCGAGCAAAATGTTAAGGATCTTACCCATTAATTTACCTAAATTTCATTAAGGATCTTACCCGTTTGCTGTCTTAATTACAGATTCGTAATACTATAACGTTATATCAATAGAAGAGAGTTCGATCAAATTAAAATGGTCAATATATTTGTAGTTTGTTTGTTTGTGCAATGTTGTGATATTTGAAGTATGATTTAATTGTAGATTGCCTGTAAGTGCAATTGTGCACTAGAATTACTATTTATTTTCCTGATGATATATGTAGTTTGCTTACCATTGCCATTTTATAAAAATAATTGAAAATGGAGTGTGCATTGTGCAAGTGACAGTAAGAGCATCTCCAATGCTCAATGTTGTAGTGTCAAATTACATTCCACATTAACATATTTATTAATACATAACTTTTCATCCTCCAATGTAGAATGTTATCACAAATGTTGTGATGAAGTGGACATAACTAATGTCTACAATGTAGAGAAGAATGTGGTTCGTCCACATTCTCCTCCACACTCTAGCTAGCCAATGAAAAGAAGAGAGAGACTTGTTATTACCATTCTCAAACTATTTAATTATTTAATTAATTTTATTAATTCATATTAAAATTTTAATATTTGGTAATAGATAATATTGTAATTAGACTACATTATGCATTGAAGATAATTTTTTAATTTAATAGTTGTGAACTCAACATTTGTCCTACATGTATCACAATCTATTTAATTTTTTGACATTTGTCAAAATTTATCCTACAACAACATTAGAGCATTGGAGATGCTCTAACTGCTTGGTATTGGACCTTCTAAAGTCTTTTTTTTTTTTTGGTACTGTAATCATACCAATCAATAACATTATATGGTTAGATTTTGTGTGCTTAAAAATTCAAATTTATGGCAAGGTCCAATGAAAATATTCTCAACACATTTTTTTTCTTTTTACCTTTTTTGGGGCTCCTCATGAACAGTGAAAGTAGATCTGCCGTTGTGACAAATACAACTATAGAGATTGTTGTCCCTAATGCCGTGACTGGGTCCATTTACAGCGAAAATGGTAGCAATTTCGATCGTCTAAGACAGGTAACAAATCTTCTTCCCATCTTCTTTGATCTTGTTATTTGTTTATTTATTTATTTCCTTAAAGGGGTGTGCGTGCTTGCATTTTTCTTTTTTCACTCTTTTGTGGTAAAATTTACAAGATGATTTACGGTTACCAATATTTACAACCTTCGTTGATTTTTTCAGGTATCTGGAGCTAAGGTCGTAGTACATGAACCTCGTCTTGGAACAAATCTTAGTATTGTTGTCATATTCGGAACACCAGACAAAACACAAGTTGCTCAGAGCTGATGCAAGCATTCTTAGTGTCTGGTTCATAGCAAATGTTTAGAGTATCTTAGAATTAACCATGGTGGTCGGTTTATTTGATATCCCTTGGTCGTGTCATGTATTTGTACGCTTTTATGTGAGTTTGTGTCTAAAGAGGACTAGCCGTTGGTGTCAGGTTAGGCTTTAGTCATTTGGTTTCTAGTGGAATATTGGCCCTTGAGGACATTTTTCAGCTGATACTCGAAAATTTTATTTGGTATGTCTAAAAGATCTTGTGGCTGTTTAATGAGTTCCTTATTGGTTGTGTCAAATGTTCTTGCTTTATATGGTGTATATATGTACGAAAACCGATGCTACAACCAGAACTTTGAAATACAAGTGGGATATTGGTTAAGGAGTGAAAATCTCACTTGCATGTTTTCTCTTTGCAATTATGTAATAGCCGATAGGTTATTTGTGTTGCCTGACCTAAATGCACTGCGAATCATGCCCTCGGCAAGTGAGGATTTTGTGATAAAAAATAAAAAATAACAAAAAAACATTGAGGATTTCGTGATATCATCGGATGAGGACTCAAAAATCGTGTACAATCTCACACAGTCTTGGGAGCCAATGTCTCGAATACACCGCCTGATGTGAATATCAAGAAGTTGTTCTCAGGGGTAAAGGTCTTCAACCAGTAAGCTCAGGTTCAGCTATGGCGCCATATGGCTCAAATCTAGAAATAGCAGCAAATAAGCTTGACTATATTAAAAAACAAAGAGCCGCTTATCCTTCATAAGCAAAATAGCTTAATGAGGTTTGTAATTAGGCTTAATCTAAAGGTAGTTTTCGCAAGTATCGTTTTTCTCAATACGCAGATGCTGCATTCTGTTGAATATAAACAATGTCAAGCCTGACAAAGCATCAAAAGAATTTTCATGATTACCTCGGAAAAGTAAAAAACACGTGTGAAATTTCAGATAGTAATATGCGACTTAACCGTTTTAAATATATATCACCAATAGCTCTGGAGACAGCCAATACGCCATTGACACATGTAATGCTCGATTTAGTGACAAAGCCGGCAGCTGCTTCAATCCTGGCCTTCTCGTCCTCCCTATCCGGATGATGTTCTCTTGTTAGTTCCTCAGCATAAATTTCCCTTGGTAAAGCACCTACATATAAAAGAGTCGGAGGGAGATAACAAAAGAGTTCAAGAATGTCACAATGTATACAAAGAAAATGCAAAGTTTTTTATGGCAATAATATTGTCTGGCGATAGTGTTAGATATGCTGTAAAAGCTTGGCTTTCAGATATGAACAATTCCATTTTGATCTGGCAATCATGTTTCGGTTAAAGTACATATGCTTGCAGTTTATTTATTTATGCAATCATACTCCTTGTCTTACATTGAGATAGTGTGGTTCGTGGTGTCTCGAACAGAAAGGTCACCTATCGGTTCCTTGTAAGACTAAATTTTTCTTTCACAGTCTAGACTGGCAGTGAGGCCCCACTTGGAAAAAGACTGTAGTGTATTCTTGATTCAGTTGACCTTTGACTGGAGAACTACACTAGTACTTATGTTAAGTATTGAACAGGACCACGGAAGGATAAAATTACGAGATCCACTGACCGTTGTTCTAATCTAAACCTTCAATGATTGATGCGTTCTCTAAAGCTGTAAGATAATATAAAATAGGCATATATATTTATTACTTATTTATTTGATTTACCAAGGGTGATTCCTATTCTGTTAGGATGACATACTCGGTATTTTGGTAAATAAGAATATTTATATAGTGTGTTATTATAAATTATTTACGGTCACTATGTCCCAGTGCGCTGGGTTGATGACATCCCCGAAATGAGCTCAGGAAGGAATATTATGTCAAGCCCTGCAGGCGGATGTGTTCCGACATAATGTTTAACAATCTGAGTGGTACTAATTTCGGAAATGAATAAAGAAGTTCATTAATTATTTTGTCAGTAATTTAATTAATCAACAGACATTATATCTTAAACATGGGGAGGTAAATCGGTCAATCAAATTAATAAATATTAATCAAGTGGAGGCTTGATTTAATTGATTAAATTGGAGCCAAATGGGAAGAGCAATAATAATATTATAGTGTGATATATTATTATTTAATTCTAATTAGGATTTTACGAATTAATTTTATTCCATATTTAATATTCCAAGAGTAGGGGAATATTCCTTCTAGAATATTACCTAGGGTTAGGAGACTTGAGAGTCTTCTAGAAGATGATGTTAGGAGGAAGGAATCATGACCTAGTTGGAATTAGTATATGGAGTAGAGTTAGGATTCTTTAGCCTAATTGGATAAACTCATATTTGACACCTCCTTAAGGTCCCTAATGGAGCTTATAAATACACCATGTCCCAACTTCTTGTACAAGACTAATGGATGTCGATTTTCCTTATTCTTAAGCGAGAAAGATTGTCTTGATTAAGTGTTTGGGAGATTCAATTAAACGCTCCACCAAGATTAATTGAAGTAGGTGTTTAGGTAATCCGTTAGAAGACTTTAAGGTGATATTTATCAAGCCTTAAAGATCCATAAATTTCGGCTAGTCACCGCCGCCGTCCGCCATAGTCATCCGCCACCAGAAGCCGCTGGAACTCGGCCCCACTCGCCCGCACGCGCCGCCCCAGCACCACCCGCGCCCAGCCATGCGCGACCTCGCAGGCAGACACGCAGACCCCGTGTTCCTCAAGCCCCGCCTTGCGCAGCCCCGAGGTCCTCGCGCCCAGCCGCAGTGTCCCACCCAGATCCACACCGTGCACGCCCAGACCTAGTGATGAATAATTATGTATCTTCCCAACTCGATTGCCTCGTTGGATGCTTTGCCACGGCACCTTCTCGGCGATAAGTGTGGATGACTCGGTTATTAGCCTTATCTTCTCACGGGTTTGAGACAGCTCGGGTACCAATCCTTGCCAAACTCAATATATGATAAAACTCTCACGAATTCTAAACACACGGTTTTGTTCTTACGAACGACTTTTTCATTAACTTCAACATGGATAAATTTGAATGACATAGGTGAATATATATAGAGGCTAACTAGATCTAATCCTATTCTAAGTAGAAATCAAACACTAAGAAATAAGTAAAGTCCTAAGGTAACTAAATATCTACTAAATAAAGACTTACCAAAACTACTAAGGCTACCCTAGGGCTACCCGGCCTGCCCAATATACAACCGACAGTATAGGTGTGTCAGAAATGGTTCTCGGTATAGTCCAATCAAGTCACACCACAAGTCGCGCGCGCGTGGGTAAAAATTCCTTGAAGTCCTCTTGAAGGCTTTTATGCTCGACCAAATCTAGGTAAATCGCTGGACCCCTCTCGATATGTGATGTGGTCGATCAAACGATCGTTTGCTCGACAGGTTAGGTCTTCGATCACATCCTTCGCAGAGCTGGGACTGGCCTATTCTCCTAATTTTCCCACTTCCATGATCTTCGACCGCAACCATCCCGTTTAGACTCTGTTCGAGCAGAGCAGTTCATTCGATTTGTTCGACAGGCTAACCGGACCAGTTTCGGGTATAATATTCCATATCAGATACCAACTCAACCGGGTATAACCGGTTGAGTCATTTCATCACCTAATTAACATTTAAACTCAACATACTCTCTACTTTTTATAAATATAATTAAATAATATCAATCAATACTCCTTACACTTCACGTCAACTTTAATTCATTATTCACCGACTCACATAATTTTAACCACCTATCACTCTCAATCATTTACCACCTACTTTTACATCCATTAACTTTAATTATTTTATTTAAATATTATTTTAATACAAACATAAACTTCTATTAATAAATAACTAAACTGACTTTCTTAAAATTAACCTTGGTTAATAAGAAAATAAACTAGTAAAAAATTGATATATTAGTAAAGAGAGATTTTCTAGTACTTTAACAACACTAGTGTGTTTAATTTTGACTTTTCAAAATTTTTAAAATTCGTTCAATTGGGATTCCAAAAAGTCTTAAAATCATGAGATATTAACTTATTTTACACTGAGATCTTCGGTCAAACATTAATTGCTTCCCTAAATTGTAGATTTTAGTTTATTTTTTAGGATTCAATCTTGAGTTCATATGTTTTGTTCCGGCGAGAAATATATAGCCCACAAAAGTAGCCTAAACTTTTGGTGTGTTTTTTTTATATAATTTGATTATCCTCTACATGTGGACTAATTAGATGATTTTATGCTTATCAATAATGCAGTTTTTTTTTGTAGGGGAGTTTGAGGATGTTTTAGATTTATCTGCTTCCAAGATTTCATAAATTTAAATTTAAAATGATTAATTTACTACAATCAAGTACGATTCGGTTAAAAATAATTGTTTTAATAAATAAGTTACAAAAGTGTCTAAATTAAAAAAAAAAATTATTGAAATAATTATTGTTTGTTCTTAAGGAATGAATAGAATGAGAAATTCAAATTATAAAAACCGAGTATCTATTCGGAACCAAAAGAATTAGAGTAATTAATGAATATTATCAAATTATAATTTACAAATTACCTACATCTCAAAAATTGATCCACTCAAGAACCAATATTAATAAAGATACAGAATAAAAAAAAGCTAAAACTAGGATACATTAACATTTCAATGTTTATGAATTCTTTTTGTAGTGAATTTCCCTAGATAATATAATTTACATTATTTTCTAAAGATATCATAACCTTTATTACTATAATAAAAATAAATATTCAATTCATAAAAAACAATGTTTCATTCTATAAAAATTTTTTCCAACGATTGTTCATTCCTAACTTCGTTTACATGTGTTATATAATATTTTAGGTATTTTTAATATTTTAAACATACATGTTTTATGTTCCTTTTATTTTATATAAGATAATATTATATTGTTACATAAATTATATCACATGTTAATCCCACATCTTTAAATTATAATTATTACTTAATATTGCTTACTTAAATTTTTAATTTAAAATTGTTATTTAATATTGCTTACTCATATCTTTAATTTCTAATTATTATTTAATATTGTTTACCCGTGCAAGACTACCTACTAGTTTTTATATAAAAGATTTGAAATGTTTCTTAAATTCCCACATGAATACACCCAAAAAATTTGTAGGAATGGTTCTTGGATTTTTTTGGACTTTCATACACACACACACAACGCACACAATATAAAAGCCTCCCGAACCCCACCAACCCATTCTGTACGGACTGGCATTACATAAAGATTAGGATATCCAGAAACACTAATATATATGTGCAATACTTTAGTAGGTGACCTCGTATCTCTAATTTCTTCAAAAACATACACCACATGATACCAAAGCAGAAAGTATGGTATTGGGACAATTCTATACTCCTAACAATAATCATAATCATCATCATCTTCATCATATTGTAGCCAAAAAGAAAACAGTGCCTCTTCTCGTGATTTGAATAAAGATCTCTCTCTCTCTCTCTCTCTCTCTCTCTCTCTCTCTGCTTTACAGTTTTCACTCTAACAACAGGCTCCATTTACCACTCACTCATTCAATTTTTTCATTTACACAACTCCCTAACTTTCTCGTGTACTTGAGTAAAATAAGAAAAGGAAAATTTTTCATGCCTTTATGTTCTCCTTCAAAAATTACTTGTGGGGTTTTATAAAAATTCTCTCTTTTTATGTCTTGTTCTCCCTTTTGCTCTTTTCCTGTTTCTACTTTGAATTCTTTGAGAGAGAGAAAGGGTGAAAGAGAATTGGAGAGAGAGAGAGAGAGAGAAAAGGAAAAGCCCTGATCTTGCTGCTTTGATCCTTTTAGTAAGGTAACCTCTTTTATTTTATAGGTAAATTGTTGTTTGTTTCTGTTTGTATTTTAATATCATGCATATGTATATATGTTTAATTTCTTTTTGTGGGTTTAGATATAACTGGCAAGTCAAGTGGTCCGTTGTCTTGATATATCCTTGTTAATGTCCTGGAACTGAAAGAGACAAGAATTTAATGAGATTTTGATCTTCTTTTTTTGCCTTCAATTAATATCGCCAGTGGGTTTTTACATTTTTGTTTGTGAACTGAAAATAATCAATTTCCTTTTCTTATGCTGTTTTCTGGGTTCCCAAAAGTGTATCTTAAAAAAAAAAAATGTCTACTCCAAGAAAAAGGGAGGTAACTATTCTCCTCTGTACACTGTGTATGTCCTTGTTTTCTGCTAATATTTGGCTTTTAAATTCACCATTGTCTCATGCGTTTCATCAACTAGCTCATGTTCTTTTGACCACCTTGTTAAATTTGATCAACTGGGTTAATGAAATATGAGAAAAGAGGGGATATAATTTGGTTTGTATCACAAATTCCAAACTTCTTAAACTGTAGTCTAAAGCTGTGAAAAGTCTCAACATTTTTCTTTCAGGGGCAAGAAATGAACAAAAAAATTGAACTTGGCAAAATTACAAGCCATACAAGCAATCATTTCATAAACCTCTTGAGCTGCAGCTGATATATACATCTTGTGTGAAATTTTAGCAATCAAATGAATTTGAACTACCCCAGATCAAAGTTGTCAGCACTATCAACGGCTAGCCTTCATTTCTTGATTGCATTATCAAATATTATTTGAGTTGAGGCCAACAACCATGAGTATGTTCCCCTGCACGCACGAAATAACAGAACTAACCGAAAATTGCGAAACTAAAACCAGTCGGGATAAACAGAACCGGCATAGCATTGAAGATGACATCAACAGGCTTTTTGAGGCCATCGACCTTGGGACCTCCCGACCGCATTTTTCGGACAAAAGTTCCATGAAAAGGCCAATTAGAGTAAGCCCTTCCCATATCTCAGGCATCGGGATTTCTGATCCCGTCAGTCTAAAACAAGCCCTTAGAGGATTGTGCATTTCCCAGGCTTCAGAAATGGCTGCCCTCAGAAAACGACTGCCAAGGACCTCTGTCGTGATCAAGGAAAACAAAGAGGAGAACTACTGTACAAGCAATAGGAACTCAGTCAAGGATATATCATCTGACTCGGTGAAAAGTCAAAGTAAAGACTTTGTGAAGAGGAAATACGTGCCGAGAAGAACTTTCGCCCCTAAAACTGTCGGTCAATGTAACGAAGCAGTTAAAGAAAATCGCGATCAACATCGCAAGGGCAAAATGGTCAATTCAAGGCCTGGCTCGAGCCTCGTCTGCAAAACAATGAGGGCGGATGAAAAGTCGAGCGCTAAGGAGAAGAGCGAATTTTCGCAAAGCTCACAAAGCAGTAGCATGGGTTCGAGCTTCTATAGTGAAGAAACATATCTTAGTGGCGGGTCGAGCAGGAGCGGGCACCGGGCCCACATGTCGAGAGACTCGAAATTGGAAGCCATAAGCTGTGCCAGAAAGCAGCACGGGAGTTTGAGCCTCAGGAATTTTAAAATGCTGAGGAAAATAGGGGGTGGAGATATTGGGACTGTTTATCTCTCGGAACTTATGGGGACTGGCTGCCTGTTTGCGGTGAAAGTTATGGACAATGAATTTTTAGTGGCGCGGAAGAAAATGACGCGGGCTCACACGGAAAGGGAGATTCTGGGGATTCTTGATCACCCTTTTCTGCCCACACTCTATGCCCATTTTGCGACGGATAAGTTTTCGTGTCTAGTTATGGAGTACTGTCCAGGTGGTGATCTTCACGTGCTTCGACAAAAGCAGCCTAGTAGGTTCTTTACTGAAAAAGCAGCCAGGTAAAAGAAAGCAAATTAAAAATAAAAAATAAAAAATGAAGTACTCGGACATGGTTTCTAGAAATCCAAGTTGTTGTCATTTTGAGGATAAAAGAAGCACCTTTTTACACTTGTTGTCTTATTTTGTTTAATTTTGAATTTTTCCGGCCTGTAGATAGTTAAAAGGAATGGAAGCTTATTTGTTAGATAGTTGTATCTGTAGGAAAGTTTAGTTTGAAATGCAAAGCTTCCATGAGATGTCACATGAAATGAGATGGGATGAGAAGAAATCAGCAGTCCCACTTAAATAAGAAAACTGAACCTAAAACTAGAGCAAACAAGAAAATGAAGATCCGCCTCCATGATTGAGAACATAGGCGTCTCTCAATTCTGATCACTAGGTAGGAAAGGCAGCAAAAATAGTAATAGTAGTCAGAATAGGCTGTTACTATAGCATTTATGTTGATGAATAAATCCTCATCTCAGGGCTCACGTTGGAAAATATAAACATATATCAAGCGGTAGTAGTAATTTTGAAACTCTTCCTCTCCTCACTCCTGTTGTTCTTTTTCTCGATCTTATTTGCTATCTATTTTTCAGTTGGTAGACCAATAAGCTAACTTATAGCTTATTTGATTAACTTATAAGTTCTCTGTATTTAAATAAGCTCTGTTTGGTAGGACAAGCTTATTTAAAAAGCTCGAGCTTATTTGATAAGCTTCTTTTGGTAGCTTTTCAAATAAGCTCGTTGAAATTTTTATTTCAGCTAACTCATATAAGCTAACTTTTCAGCTATAAGTCATAAGCTATAAGCTATAAGCTCGAAAATTACTAATAAGCTATAAGCTAGCTGATAGTATATGTAATTTTTGAGCTTATAGCTGAAAAGCTAGCTTATATGATAAAAGTGTTTGGTAAAATTAGCTGATAAGTTAGCTGAAACAAAAAATTAACTAACTTATTTGAAAAGCTACCTAAAGAAGCTTATTAGATAAGCTCGAAAAGCTACCAAACGAGACTTATTTGAATACAGAAAATTTATACGTAAAAAGTATCCGAAAGCGTGACCAGTGTTTTTTGGTAACGGCAATTGTGCAGATTCTACGCGGCGGAGGTCGTCGTTGCTCTCGAGTACCTCCACATGCTGGGCGTCGTGTACCGCGACCTGAAGCCCGAGAACGTCCTCGTGCGCGAAGACGGCCACATAATGCTCACCGACTTCGACCTCTCCTTACGCTGCCCCACTCCCGTGACCCCAACCCTCCTCAAACCCCCCACCACAAACTCATCGTGCATCGACCCCCTCTGCCTCCACCCCTCTTGCTTCAAGACTCCCCGAAAACCCGAACCTCACCACCCGGACACACGATACCCGCAGATGGTGCTGGAGCCCACGGGGGCCCACTCGAACTCGTTTGTGGGCACGCACGAGTACTTGGCCCCCGAGGTCGTCAGGGGGGAGGGCCACGGGAGCCCTGTCGACTGGTGGACGCTTGGGGTGTTCATTTACGAGATGCTGTATGGGAGGACTCCGTTCAGGGGTTCGACCAATGAGGAGACGCTGTCCAATGTGGTGTCGAGGTGTGTCGGCTTTCCGGGGGCTCCCGTGGTGAGCTCGGCCGCGCGGGACCTGATGCGGCGCCTGCTGAGGAAGGAGCCCCGGGAGAGGATGGGTTGCGCGGCAGAGATTAAGGGGCACCCGTTTTTCGAGGGGATGAATTGGGCGCTCGTGAGGTGCCAGAGGCCGCCGGAGATGCCTGGGGTCGTTGATGTCAGTTGTGAGGCTAAGAATGACATGGAATTTGGGGTGTTTTAGATAAAGACTTTATTTGTACAAGTCAACTTGGATGGAATACATGGAGATTTTTTTTTTTTTTTTTTTTTATTAACATATATACGTTGAGTTTGTTTCATTATTGTTTTTGCTTACCCCTTGTTGTTAATGAGCCTGAGATGCAAGTCTGTAACCTATAGTGTAAAAAATGTATGTGGGAATTGGGTACTGTGGGATCTAGGAATAGAGATAGATACAGTAAATATGATGATCTTGTTGATGCTTTAGGAGTTAATGTGGCTTTTTTTGATCTCCAGTTTCTTGATTAAAGATAACAAAAAGGAAAGATGAAAGAGGAAAAAAAGAAAGGAATTTAGGATTCTTTACATCATGTGAACTGCTGCAAATTTAAATTTCAACTATATGTTTACAAGATTAACCCGCGATTTGAGATAATTAGGTAATTGCAAGGTACATCAATCAGGTTTCCAGCTTCAAGAATTAACACGAACACCTGTAACTATTAGAAAAGGTTAGTTGTAACAGCAATCAGTTCGTAAAAAGTTAATTGACCACGTGTGTTGTATAAATATCCACAAAGAAAAGTTAGTTTTGGAAATGAATTTTACATCCGGAAGGAGAAATACAAGACAAAAACAAGGATCTCCTCGTAATTCAAATTCTTCCTGGGCTAGTTGTGTGTGAGCGTCCACAACCTCAGGGTGACTTAGTAAGTCACTTTTAAATATATAAATAATATTATTAGTTACAGGGTCCTGATAAGAAAAAGGTAATAGGCTGTGGCACATGATATCCAAACTCAGACAATGAAACTCTGCTTTGGCCCCTTCTTGCGTTTGCCCCTTGGGTTTTCACTGAGGGTCGATGAGAAGACACTCAGTAGCTCGTCATCCTCAAAGTTGACCAAGATGTTGGCTGCACTAGGCTTTTCAACCAGGAGTTTGGCCACCAGATAACCCGCGATAGACCACGTCTGGTAAAGACGCGCCTGCTTCCCCACGAACCTTGCCCCTTTGGTGTCATAGTATTCGGGCCATCTGTCCCGAGCTATACGCTTTTCCGCAACCTTAATAGCGTTCATAGCGATTTCTGGTCGCTTCAATTTCATGCATGCCACAGTCAGCTGAAAAGAGGCGAGCACACACATAAATCAGTTGAGAAACTAGAAGAAAGTGAAAAAAAAAAATAAAAAAAAATCTGAGGATTAATAACAATGAGATGGTGTTTTGCAAATTTTTTGTTAAAGGGATTCTAAACAAATAATAAGCTAAGTGGTGCAGGAAACTAACCATATATCAACAAGCACAACACCAAAATAAAAGGGTGAGAGTATACATTCCTCATATGGGTATTTGTAGGTGAAACTGATACCTCAAGATTAGTTTCTGCAACTATCCATTCTTAGGATGGGAAATTACAACAGAAAAGCCTCAACAAACTATTTCACCTTCAACTTGCAATTTTCAAGGATAATTAATTAATTACAAATCAAATCGACTCATCTAAAAAACACAACACAAAAATCGCGACTAGGGCTCGATGAAACAGAAAAAACACATACCTGCCAGAGCAAAGTTGGCCAAGAACCTCCATTGTGGTAAGACCAAGGACTGCATAGCAGGCAATTACAGTTACATGGTTATTTATTTATTAAAAAAAAAAAAAAAAAAAGGGCAGGGTAACATATCTTCATTGGCATACCCGCCACAAGGTCATCCCATTTGGCCTCCACGAGATCCAATATCGCGTGCGATTGGTCCACTGTAGCAAGCCCACAGACTATGGCCCACAAGTTCCCCAAAGAAAAGAAACGGAAGTCCATGTGGGCCGGCTGGAGGTTCCCGATGAGGTAACCACCGTTGTCGGGCATCCAGCTGACGAGCCAGGGAGGAATCTGATCTGGGTATATGTTGAACTTGTTCACCGCATCATAAGAGTACTCCTCTGTCTTGTACCGGTAAATCTCGTTCAGCTTCCTCATGTCTATCCAGTAATACTCGCGTATGTGAATCGACAGAGCCACAAGTCGGTTGTTGAGGGCCGTCATGAGGTCCGTACGGCGGTCCTCTGGGGATAGCATCTCCCGCGCGCAAAGCAGTGCTGAATAAAATAGTGACTGCAAGAAATAAAATGAAAAAAAAAAAAAATAAAAAACAGGAAATAAAATGCGATTGTGGGCTTTTGTTGCAAACAGAGTAGGTTTTACTGTTTCCAAGAGCCAACATCTGCTTTTAATTCTGAGAAACTAAAAAAATTAGAGCAACTTATTACCCTTCATGTTTCTGGTTCAGTTTTCAGCTAGACGAATTAACATGAACAAGACATTGCTATTTGAAAATACGGAGAAGAGGAAAATTTGGCAATTTTATTCTGTGTCATTTTGCAACCTAATTTTTTCTCGCTTTTTTGTTTTTTTCTTTCTTTTTTGTTTTTTTCTTTTATTGAGGCTAACAAATTAAACTGTCAATTATTCACTTTGCCGAGTTGCAAGGTAATAAAGTTCATGTCTTTAGTTACAAAAACATATGGTTGAGGTTGTCAAAAGACGAAAGTGTAGGCAAAGCTCACAAAATACTCTGCCAACCAGGCAATTTGTAATGGTCAACTACATTTTTAGTTTCTGCAAAAACTTTCTTAGGACCCACACTCTTGGTAATAAAAATAACAGAAGGTCACCTGGATTTCGAGCGGATGGCCATGGATACCCATGCGGCGATCGATCATGCACGACCCATCCGTAACTAATAGAGTCGGAAACATGTCAAAACCATCAGTCAAACAGAGCCGTAAGATCATCTTGATGCCAATCTGTACATCAACTCTTTCCTGGACCGAAAAGTCCCCACTGCATTTTCCATATGCACGTAACAATATGATCCACCACAAGCCTGAGAAACAAAATACATGTCATAAACGTTCATTCATGTCTCAACTACCAAAAAGAGTGAAATATGAACTTATGGATCGATTCTTGAACTTTGGCCTAATTCCAAAAAGCTCAAAAAGAAAAAGGAAGGACAATACGTTGCAATTTTAGAGACCACCTTAATGTAATGCAAATTCCACCCATGGAATAAAATTTTCTCAAAATAAATTCTCCTATTAATTACGGTTAAAATGTATAAATAGAAAAGGCAATCAACCAATTAATTGTAATTTTGATAGATGGATTTTTTTATTTTTATTTTTTATTTTTATTTTTTATTTTTTAGACTGAACGTCAAGTGTGTATTTGTAGTTAACCAATAGATCAACAACTGACCAGAATCCACTGGGGCCACCCGCCCAATTGCCGCCTCACCAAAGTCGGGATCTAAGGCCTCTTCAGTTTTCGAATCATCACCATCTGATGGCATGACTCGAACTTTGAAACTTGCCGGCATTAGCCCTTGTCCAGGACTATGGCAATCCATAGTTTTCACCCAACTCTATCACACAATGTTAAGATACTTAATAAAAACAAGAAAGTTGCCGTAAGATTAAGTACCAGAAGTCTACAACATTCCCGGAGGTCATGCTGCATATCTAATGCAAACGAGATCTGGACTGTTGGGCCATGAATGAATGACAATATACCGTTGTCTGAGACAATTTCTTGAAACTACCAGAGTATAAAAATGGTGAGACAAAAATTTGTAGTTGTATGGGCAAGGCTTGGTGCAAATTTGAATTTGATCTCATTCACGATTTGGCAGCTTGAACTATCATGTAAAAGTTCCTGACAAAATCGAAAGCAGATAGCCAACAAACTGCAACTTTCGACTATAGCCTAAAACCATATGACATATGGAATTTCCCTTTTTTTTTTTTTTTTTTTTTTTTTTTTTTTTA